AAAATAACTGCAAGGCAGTGACATTTCGAGGCACGGTTATGATTCATGAATGACGCAGGACAATTTAACTTTGAGCCTAGAAATCAGCTGAATGTAGTCCAAGGGCATCAAAACAAAAGGTGTGCGAAGTCTTAGGCCTCATTCACTCAGCTTAGAGTCGGCCCGTACAGATCCGTGCGGCGTGCATGACCGTATCAGACCGTTCCCGTTAAGGGCAGGTGCTGCGTGTGATTGTAAGCAGCAGCCTGCTCTTCCCTATGGGAGGACGCGGCCTTACGCCGCTGAACGCTCACCTGAGCTGCACATCCGTGTGGGTGTCTGTACTCAGACGCAGACAGGATGGATCCTGTGTGCGTCCGAGTATGGACACCCACACGGATGTGCAGCTCGGAAGAGCGTGCATCGGCGTACGGCCGCGTCCTCCCATAGGGAAGAGCAGGCTGCTGCTTACAATCACACGCAGCACCTGCCCTTAACGGGAACGGTCTGATACGGTCATGCACGCCGCACGGATCTGTACGGGGCGACTCTAAGCTGAGTGAATGAGGCCTTACAGTTCTTTCATTAGAAAGAAGCAACAGCCTGAGTAGTAAAGCATATGTGCTGCCAGCATGCTACAGAGAAGCTCCCTTGATCTGGAAGCAGCAGTATCTCTGCAGAATCCTGACACACCCCATAGTGTCAGACCCATGCAAGCAAAGCTCATGCTCTTTGCTGATTGGAGAGCTCCGGCTCTGACTAAGCACCTGTCATGTATTTAGCTCATTTAAACTGAAAGTTCAGTTGGTTTTTAAGAAACTACATCTCCATCTAAGGCTGCTCTGTTCAAAGGGGGAGTCTGATGGGAAAAGGGGGGCTCTGATGGGAAAAGGGGGGCTCTGATGGGAAAAGGGGGCGCTCCGATGGGAAAGGGGCGCTCCGTGTGGAAAGGGGCACTCCGATGGGAAAGGGGCACTCCGATGGGAAAGGGGCACTCCGATGGGAAAGGGGCACTCCGATGGGAAAGGGGCACTCCGATGTAAAGGAGGACTTTAATGTAAAGAGGGGGTCTCTGCTGTGAAAAGGGGACTCTGATGGCAAATGGGACCTTCATTTGAAAAGGGGACTACATTGTGAAAAGAAAACTGATGTGAAAGGGGGGATTCATACGGTTTTTGTGATTTTGCCCTCTTTAAATTCATACCATTCCCTATCTAGAATAAGGGTGTGGTATGAATTTTATATATATTGGGGAGGAATTTGTCATTTTTTTACATTTTATACTGAGGTGCCCCCACATTTTGCATACTTTTAAACAGTGCAAAAAGGTTAACAAACACTGGAATCAACTACCACAGCATTGCAGCATTGTACAAATTGTTACTTTGTAGCTGAATAGTGCAAGTTGTTTCCACCACACTATAATGGTCGCAGAGACCAAGTACACAACATCTACAAGCGGCAATGAATTTTTCTTGCAGGAACTCATAAAAACCTTTCCGACAAAGGCCGTAGTAGCCAAAGTGCCGGCCTGAGCAACGTAGTTTCATAGTTTATTCTGAAATAGCAAACTCTTCATCTTTTCATTGGGTCCCCCCCCCCCCTCATGCCTCCCTTTGATGAAGTCTTCAGCTTACTTGTAACAACTCTTTAAGCTTTACATTCCCATCATCCTTTGGCCTGCATCTCATTTGCACAATGCGGTTATGCGGTGATGCTCCGCTCCCTGCCAGGCGGTGTTAAAAACAGCTGCAACTATTTCACTCCGACACCTCGATCTCAGCAAACTTTAGAGCAGAAATTGTGAACAAGTGCTGGCAAGGTGTTTTATTCCCCATTGTGCTTCAAAATCAGCACTTCCAAAACTAACAGCTCACTACTTGCAAACACTCCTTACACAGCTTGGAAACAACACAGTGGTAATTGATTTTCAAGCCTAAATAGCCGCTCTGATTATTCCTTCTAAGGTTCTGCTAACAGCTGTTCATAGGGAGCAGTGAAATCGAAGAAGTGGGCGTTGGTGGGGATTGAACCCAAGACCCCACAGCTGCAAAGCAAGAACGCTGTAAGACTATACCTGGCCGTGTGGAGGCTTCTGCGCACGTGTATACGCCTGTCTTCCGCATTTGCTGGAAATGGGCGCTATTGTGCATGCACAATCAACGCACGTGCCAGCGGAAACGTGCTAACGTGGCGCACAGGAAGTGATGCAGCTTCTCTGGATTGATGGCCCTATTTAAACTTGCCAATCCTATGGATCATTGCTGAATGGTCTTTCAGCTCCTGTGTGTCTGTTCCTGTGCCTCTGTCTGTTCCAGTATTCTGCTGCCTGACCCGGATCTTCTTGACTACGCCTGACTGCTGCCGCCCCTGACCTCTGCTTGCTCCTCGACTACTCTTCTGCCTGCCGCCTTGTACTTTGCTGCCCGATCGGTGTTGACTCTGGCCTGCCTGACTCGTCCTGCTCCAGCCGTGTTCCTGTGGTCTTCCCAGCTCCATCTACACCTGCTTCCTTGGAGACGTTGTCCCCTCCTCCTCCCCTGCTGCTGACCACGGGCCCCACCTCCTCCTCAACTGCCGGGTCCAGCCTGCTCTACCGCCGCTGCTGGCTCTCATTGACTCCGTGGTAAGGAACGCGCTGCTGCACAGATTACCGTCAGTGATCTGAGCAGCGGCGTGTTCATCTTCAGACGCCAGTGAAAGCCACCAGCAGAGGATCCCATAGCGACCCAGGCGGCCCGCACGGCATCTGGCCGGGCCCCACTCTGCCCGGGCTCCATAGCGGCCGCGTGGGTCGCTATGGTGATTGTTACGCCACTGCCCTGCACCCTCTGGCACCGGTGCTGCTCTCTGTCCTCTCACTCCCTGTCACCACTCTCAGGGGTGAGGGACAAGAGTTGAAAAGGAGGCCTCCTCACTACTCGATTCTCTACCAGGTACATGATAATAATGATAAACGCTAACTACTATTTTTCAGCGTCAAATCTTATTTGTTTATTTATTATGGGAGAAATTTTAAAAATGCAGCAGTTGGTCAGTTTTGATTATACTCCCCCCCTCAGAGTACCCACATAGCTATGCACCACTATGTCCATGTTAATAACAGCAAAGGATTATGGGATTGAATGAACAGGTAACAGCGATACAGGCTTATTTGGATTTTTCTGTGATATAACTTGTATATAATGGCACATATGTAGTCTAACCTCTCAGGAATTGATTTTTGTGTTCTTATTTACTTGTACACATTGTAACGTGATAGAAACATCAGCAATAAACTTTTTACGGTAAACTCCAAAACAAAGACTAGAGGCCACCACCGAAAATTGGTGGAGAAAAGATTTAAGGGGTTTTTTCGCTGCCACAAGCAGTGCTATCAGCTGAGAGTGTTGAATCATTCAAAAAGCACGTGTACAATTTCCTCAGAGACCGTAACATACAGGAGTACAGGTACCCTACAAAACAAGATCACACATGGACTCAAACACACTCATACACATGGAGAATCACATACATACATACACGCAATAGGTTGAACTTGAGGGACCGGTGTCTTTATTCACCCTCAAATACGATGTAACTTAAACAATATTTTCTCATTTATTTACAAAGACAACTGTAGAATGTTCTCCAATTTGGGGTGCCCTGCTTTAATGATGGACAACGGAATCCTAAATAAGCGTTGGGTTTATTTACAAATAGGGATACACATACATTGTAATTACAATTAAGGGAAATGGAGAGGGGATTTGGAAGGGGAAGTAGGGATAGACATAGGGTTGCCACCTGTTCACCCAGACAGTACGGATTTTGAATGCTGTGTCATAGTTTCATGGTAGCTGAAATGTGATGTCATGTCATGATGTCAGGCAGACAGGAGCAACCAAAATTAAGATAGGGGCTCATGGCCCCCCACTGAAAATAGTCTTGACTGTGGTATTTACATATGAATGGGTGACGCTATTTACATATGAATGAGCCACAACTCGTTCTCCCAAAAAACTTTCTGTGCGCCGCTAGAGTGTTCGGGTTTTGCTGGAAGAAAAGGGGGCAACCCTAGATGGGCATTGAGGTTAAGATCCTTCAGCTAGCAACATCATTCTCTCTCTCATTCACACATGTCATGGCCTAGTCTCTGTGCACAGACCACTCCCTTCAAGCAGGTCTCAGCGAATCACACTCTTGATTGTAGAGTCCAGAAAGACTTTGTCTTGTCCAAGAGGTCACAAGGGTTACCATTATTCCTGCTTGTGAGCTAGGTTTGTGCATATGATCACACAGGAAGAAGGGTCCTTCATATGTCCCTGCCCCCATCCCAGCATGTATGCTGCATTGCTGAACAAGTGTGGGCAGTAAATACCAGCAGGGGGTCTGGATTATCCAAGGAGATAACAAACCTCAGGCATATCTTTATCCATCAGTGTCCCTGCCCCAAGAGCCCTTTGATGAACCTCATGTGTGTATCACAAGGCCACATGCTGATTGTTCAGGAGTGATCAGAAGTCAAGGAACACCTTTATATCAAAGCTTTTACATGGATATCAATTTTATCGGCTCCAACAACAACAGCGAACCATGATGATAATCAGAAGGATGTAGTTCATACAACTTTTGCAGCAAAATGAATCCTGATTGGTTGTTACATGTCGCTATGAGGCCTTACTAAACTATAGCCCACTCAAGGGCTCATATAGATGGGTTTGTGTTTGTGTCTGAGCTGCTCTTCTTACAAGTCAATGTGAATGCAAAAGCAACATGATGCAGCTTGAAGCATGACAGAAGCATCTTGAGGCAAAAATTAGAAAACTCAATAGCAAACCAAAGAAACCCCAAAACAAGTCAAACCAACTCAGCAGACCAAAGACTGCCAGACACAAGTCACATCAACTTGGAAACACCTGAAGATATTTAGCATTTGACCTTCTTTTGGGGGTACATACGTTCTAATTTCCCACCATTTGTATCATAAACCTAAATCACCCTCAAGTCACTTCTTGCAATATTAAGCAGCCTTGTCCTACCTCTGCTTGCGCTCTCCACGTGTTCGAGTTCTTCTGGAAACTTCAAGACCTCGGGGAATTTTTCTTCGCAGATTTCTGCCAGAAAATGCAGCAAGGTGGTCTTCTGGTCCGAAGATTTTGTGTCTCGAATCTGCCGGAGATCAGAAAATAATTGCATCATAACCCATGTATCGAAGCTTCCATTGCAAAGCAAAGACATTTCAGAATTGATTTAGGACAATGCAAGAAATCAGAACCTGAACATGCATCACTCACTGAGCCGTGTCTCTCCAAGGCCACTCAACAGCAGGATTTGGGGTTCGCCTCTGCCACCCGCAGGTTTCTCACAGCCTGATGCCCCTTTTTTGTAAATCGCCTGAGACCATTGTGGCCAAAGTGGGCTCACTTCCAACTCTGAGGAAGGACTCCTAAATATCCTTCTAACCTCATAGCTCTATATGCTCCCGGGATGTTGTAGGAGAACTTTGACCTCCGTCTTGTATAGCTATTCCACAAAGCAGATTTTTGTTCTGCACTCATACATCTCTACCCACGAATAATATTACAATGATTTCACATAATCTAGCTTGTAATTTAAAGTAATTCTAGAGTCAACTAAAAAAGGTAAAACATTTAAATAAACAAAAAGTTACGTATGACTGTACTTTGTGTACCTACAAACTCACACGTTGACCCTGCCAGCCAAGTCTGCTTCTTTTACTAGTGTCACAGTGCTACCCCTTCACTTCTGAGCAGTGTTGCCACCATCAGGCCAGCTGTGCCCATGTGGATGGACGAGCTGATGCTGATTTTTTGCTGCTGCAGTTAAATTACATTTACGGGTCTTTTCCCTCCCCCATCCCATGACTGGACAGTGAAAAAAGAACACTGATGAGCTCATCTCTATGCCACTCTGCTTTCTACTCCTATAGGTATCTCCATTATAACAGATGAGCACTATAGCACAACTGATTAGCTAAATCTGAGCTCCAGGCAGACATTAAAAGACATAGATTATTGTTTATCTTTATTTATTAACAGATCATTACATGTTTTTTTTTTTTCTTTAACTCAAGCAGTGCAAGTACCTCAATTTGATTTTGTATCAACATTTTGAAATC